ATGACTGCAGACACTTGCAGATGCTGCACCTCACTGACTGAGCCTTAACATGCACTGGTTTGAAAACAATTTATCCGCCACTCTAAGACTTATAAAAGACGTGGCTAGTACTGTATTTACCTTGTCCTAATGATACTTCTGTCGCTAGCGAGGGAGTAGCATTGACCCTCCAAAACCTGGCTGCCTCATATTCAGTTTTTCACCTCCAAAATAAAAGCAGTCCTGTACTTTTTTATTTTCTAGTAATACCTCAGCCAGAATGCAGCATGTGTCATCTTAAGATGTCAACTAACAAAATAGCTTACTGCTACTGTCTAACTCACTTCAACCTTGTAAATCCTCCTTTTCGTGAATTCAGCATGTTTGACCTAATCAGCAGGTCCAGCCATCGTTAATGTTATTAAGTACACACACGCTTTTCCTGTTTTTACTATCAAACTATCTGCTGTGAAAAAAGGCCTACTTGTGCATACGTTTATTTATTTATATTATATCCACATAAATTGCTTTTCTCAATAAATTAGAACATGAATGCTGGTAAGTTGCCCATTCAAGCTTTTACTATGATTGAGTTGCACTTATGCTCAGCGACATATTGAATCTATCTGTTTATTTATGTTTATTTATTTGTGGGTTGTTTAGGCATCTTGGGGATAAAATTTATTTTAAGAACATTGGGATTTACGATTCTGTGAGCACACATTTTAAGAATTGTTTAAATATATTGTTTTCAACCCTCCAGTGGTTTAAATATGTGTTCAGAAATTGCTGCAAAATTTGGTGCAGACGTTCACGGTGCCCTGAGATTGAACTGACAGAATTTAGGCTTTAAAATGAATGATTTTCTATCATGAGGTTAATATTTCTAGTTTAATTTAACCCTTATAGGACAGATTGTGAACTTTGGATTAAGGATTAACTGTAACAGCTTTGGTGATTTATTTGTTTATTTTAAATCTAGTGTCACCATCACATCAACATTTTCATTAGAGACATTAACATCAGCCTCAGCTGTGCTTTGTGTTTTGTGCTACTCAGCAAATGTCAGCATGTTGAGATGAGATGGTTAACATGGTAAACATACCTGCTAAATGTCGGCATGCTAGCATTGTCAGATGGCAGCATTTAGCTGAAACCTCTGCTGTGACTAAACACAGCTTTACAGAGCGTCTAACATGGCTCTGGACTCTTCTCTTGTTTTGTCATAAATCAACATGATTTTATTAATGTTTTACTATTGACAGAAAAAGAGTTGCCAATATCTGTTGAAGTCTGTAAGTTCAATCATTTGGTTAAAGTAGTTTGAACTTGTAACCAGACTGTCTTGTGCAACTTTTCTACAATTCTGGTCTATATGAATTCACAGGGATTGAATTGATTTATTTCTTATTTGCCCAGCAGAGCGACAGTACATACAGCGTCATACAGTGTGAACTTTGTTTTTATTTTTTACCGCAGATTTGAGAAGCTGGATATCACCCCTAAGAGCGCTCAGAAGCTGAAGCCGGTCTTGGAGAAATGGCTGGCTGAGGCCGAGCACTGGAACCAGAAAGGCCAGCAGAATCTGATGGAGTTCGTCGGCGGTGAACCTTCCAAAAAACGCAAGCGGCGCACCAGCTTCACCCCGCAGGCTATAGAAGTCCTCAACTCTTATTTTGAGAAGAATGCACTGCCAACAGGCCAGGAGATCACGGAGATCGCGAGGGAGCTAAACTATGACCGGGAGGTTGTGCGAGTATGGTTCTGCAACCGGCGACAGACGCTGAAAAACACAAGCAAGATCAATGTCTTCCAGGTTTAGCAGCGACCTCATTCTGGGAGAGTTTGCCACTGGTCATTTGTCCTTTTGGGAATTCGAACATGTAATGCAACAGCACAGATCTGGATTGTGTTGTGTGAACGACTCCATTAAGGCTGAACGAATATGAACTTTTTTTTTTTTTTTTGTGAAAATGAAGGAAATTATGAAAGAGTACTAAAACTGAGTAATAGTTGTGTTCTAAGGCTGTAAATGTGTACACCACTTGTGCGTGGTGCGTACTAAGTCAAACTGCATGGTCCTCTCATCATATTCAGTGATAATAATACAGTGATGATAACATGTCATATTTAAAAGCATTTGATGAACTTTTATACGAGTGGTTTTATAGGTTACCCCTCTTACTCATTTTTAATGTTTGTGCATTAAGTCACATTGATTTTAGTCACTCTGACATCGACTGACATTATGCTGATATTGAAATAATAGACTTCGGCCACAGTTGATAACATGAAAGCTCTAGCTGCTCATTTATTTAATAGTCACATATTCTTTGTCCTGCAGCTCTGCAGACAGAAATGAGATTCTGACAGACAAATGATACATAATCTTATTTTCATTAGAATTATTTGTCCAAGGAACTACAGAAATGACTTTGCTCTCTGTGGGCTCCTGGCTCTGCCACAAGTATTTTGGGACAATCGTCACTTTGATAGTTCTTAAGTGATAATCAATGAAGGATGAGCTTCAAATATGTAGTCATTTCCTCTTTTTTTGGCTCGGGTGCCCATTGGGCGAGTCATTTCTGATGTTCCTCGGACAACAGATTCTTATAAAGTAGCAGCTCGGGCTATTGTCTGTGGTGCCACAGTTGTAAATGTGTTTTAGTTTTTTATGTAACTTGTTTTATTTGTGAGTGACTGATCATGCAGATGCACTTAGTGTTTGTGTGAGTGACATATGTGTGTGTGAATTCATCAGTCTGTCTTTGTTTTTACACCTTCTGTTTAATGTGCTTGTAATACTCTGAGAGTACTTTTTTTATTATTATTTTGCTTTCTGTTTGTTTACTGCTTTGACTCTTCGCTTAATAGCCTTCTGCTGCATTTGTCATCTGGAGTTAGACAAAGCAGATTTGCAAAATAGGAACTCATTTGGCCTGTTATGAAGTCAACTTAATATGATGTCATGTTGCCTGAAACATTAGTGCCAGATTTTTTGAAATACTCATACCAAGCCTAAAATCAATCAAATTGATTAAAAATTATAATTAACTGTTTAGGAAAGGAAAGCACGTTATGACTTTCAGTCTGAACGAGTTAGAAGACAGTTTGCATCTGCAGTATAAACGTATTTTCTGTAGGAACAATACGGTGGCAGTTCTCTTTATCTTTGCTGATATTTCAAGAATTCTTTGCACTTTAGTGACAGCAGGGAAAGTGAAAGAGTTATGAATGGTTTACGTACAGTCAAGATTTTAATTGTGTTTGTGAGAGAATTTAATGTTTGTATTGTGAGGTTCTTGACCCGTGAGAGGCTTTGCAAAATGTAGCAGTACTGGCAAAATTGCAATCATCAACTTGACAAGCAACATCTATTATTAAGATTAATTTACTTTTTAAGCAGATGAAATGTAAAATACTGCAGAATATAAAAGCTAATATGCATTAATTACATTAAAAAAATGTCTTTGAGTTTGTGAATTATACGTTGAACGGTGCATTTTATGCTCCACCTCATATTTGCCTTTTAAATGCCAGTAGGCTTATATTGCAGTGGACATATACCTAACCGTAGTATTACAAAGGTCTTGCTTTAACATGTGTTTACCTTCATATTCAATATGGGAAGACAATATATGATATGGTTTAATATACTAAGTTATCCAATAGAGAGGAAAAAGAGCTAAATTAGATGAATAAGATGCAAACTATTATACATTTGACTCCACAAAGCACAGAAAAGTTCAGGTTTTACTGAGACAAGTGAAAAAGTTGGATGCTTTTTGTCATTTTCTGTCAGATAAATAAACCCTGTCTTTATTAATCAATCTTAATTGTCCTGTGTCAACATACTTTTAGTTTAGGTGTCGGCTGTAACCGTAAGTGACTACTGACGTCCATTAAACATGTAAATAAGGTACTTTTTACACCTAAAATCCCCCAGGATTATGTGTTTGCAACAGAGAAGGCTGCACTTTCAGGACTGCACTTCTAGGACCCTTGTTTGTCACAACAATGCTTCCTGCCAAATTGGCATAACACTGAGGAGCACAGTAAATGGTTTTAAAAGTTTATTCCATCCAAAATACTACTTAAAGTGTTCACACATAATAACACTTTATGTTCAAGTACTTAGAATTTTAAAGATTTCTTCCATCTAAAAATGAATTGTAGTTAAAAATATTTGTTTCACACAAACTACTACTTTCTTTCCAAGTACTCAAAGTTTTAAGGTTTTATTCCACCCAAAATATTACTTACAGTTTTAAAGATCCGTCTCACCCAAAATAATACTCCCAGTCTAAGCATGAAAAATGTAAAGGTTTATTGAGTTCAAAGTACAACTTAAAGTTTTAAATGCATGTTTCATGTTTGTTTGTTTTTTTAAAAATAGATTTTCCCCCCTACCCAAAATACTACTTATAGTGTTGATAGTTTTATTCCACTCATAGTTTTAAAGATCTGTCCCACCCAAAACAAAACCTTCAGTCCAAGCACTTTTAACGGTTTCTTCCACCTAAAAGCAACATATGGCTTCAAATTCTTGTTTAACTCAAAAAAAAAAACAAAACCCAGTACTTGTAATTTTAAAGGTTTATTCCACCCAAAATACTACTTTCAGTTCAAGCATTTATAGTTTTAGAAGGTTTATTCTGCCCAAAATACAACCTACATTTTTTATAATTCTGTTCCAACCAAAATACTTTTTGTTCCAGTAGTTATAGTTTTAAAGGTTCATACCACCCAAAACTGTGCATCGTTTTTTGTTTTTTGTTGCCAGAGCCTCTGAGCTAGAAAAGTTAGCTGGCCTTGGAGTAAACAAGTGATTTCCATGTTATCTGGCCCAAAAAAGAGGTCATCAAAAACAAGTGTCCTAGAAATGCAGTCCTTCAACTGTAGCTTCCTCTGTGCAGACACACAGGCAGCAGTACCTAAACCGAGCGGTGTGTGGCGCTAATGAGCAACAACGTTATTTACCAGCACTGTGGATAAAACAGCGAGGAAGAAGGCGAAGCGGAAATTACGGCAGCTCCTTTTCCAGACGAAGCTAGATAAACAAACAAAAGCAAGACGTTATTTTACAGCTATTTATGAATTGGAGATTATTTTGACGTCTTGTTATGTATAGATATGCTTACCAACAACAAACTGATCCGGTGAATACCCGGTAGCTCAGGCAAACAAGAGCTAGCATCCTACTAACAAGTTAACTGGCAGGCTGCGTAGCTAACTTGTTAGCTCGACATGTTTATTTTAGTGCTGAGGGGAAGGAGCGCGACATGATGGCATGAACCTATCGCAGTGCAAGCAAATAGCTACAGTTGTCAGCTAAAGGTAAGCTTCACATCTCCACTAGGAGTACGTTGTTCAAGCGCATAAAAAGTAAAGTCTAAAAATGTTTTAGTTTTTACCAAGTTCTTTGAGTCGCAGCAGTGCATCTGTGCACCGTTGTAAAACGTGTGTTTGCACTACCGTCAGCCTCAGAGGCTCTGTGTTGTTCGGAATGAAAACCTGCTCATAATCAGTGCATAAACTGCTGATTTGATGATCTTTACTCATTTTTGTGGGTATACTTCTCCACCAAACAGCACCACGTTGTCTGATGTCTGTGGTTTTAGCGCTAGAGTCACTCTCGCTGATAATAAATCACTTATTTAACTCTCTCCTCCAAATTTTGGAAGGTTGTGAGAAACAGGTCAAACTTGGCCAGAGTTTTAACCGGAACTGCACCCCGTAAAATCTCCACATCGTCACCATGGCGTGGGCTCTGAAATTGCCCCTCACGGATGAAGTGATTGAGTCCGGACTGGTCCAGGACTTTGATGCCAGTCTGTCCGGCATTGGCCAGGAGCTCGGTGCTGGGGCGTACAGTATGAGGTACAGTATCCGTTTTTGGCGTATTAAGCCCTCTGTCTTAGTGTATTGTTGGACTGAACCGTACTACACATTAATATTTACCAAAATATATCAGCTGTTTGTTGCTTTACTGAATACAGAGTTTAAGATGAATTAAAACGTCTATTTTGGTTTATTCTGGGGAGTGTAGATGACATCTGAAAGTGATGCTCCAATTAGTTATCAATGTCTTAGTGAAACTGTATCAACTGCTTAAGTTAAATGTCAGCAGTGTGTGTTTTTACCTGACTCAGGTCTTTCAGTTTGTTTTTCTTTTATTTCTTAACCATTGTTTTTAAAATTCTCAAAATGATTGGTACTACACATTTTTGGAGTCAGAATGGATTTTCTTTCTGAACATATTTGCTAGATTTTAAGCATCAGTGATGCGGTGTCTGTTGTGTGCAGTGTTTCTTGTGTTGCAGGCAGTGTTTCACATTTTCTGACAGCCTGTGTGTCCTCATTAGTGGACAGTGTGAGCAGAGAAATCTCTTCACGCTTTGACGTAGTACATGGATATGTGAGTTCCTGTACTGAGAGATAGCAGAAGGGCAAATGAATCACCACTTGCAGATAAAGTGAAAAGCTAAACACAACTTGTTGACTATTGGATGGAGAATAGTCTTTGAAGAAAATTGACTGGGGCATTAGATTTATCCCTTCACTATGCAGCATATCCCTAATCCATTAGTGTAATTATGTGCACACAGTTCTGTTTTTTTTTTTTTTTTTGATTTGGTGCAGCTTATTTGAGAGATTAAACTAAATATTTATTTATGATGCTCATTTTTATGGTGATGGAAATTATGTGGAATCCATTTAGGTTTTGCTGACTCAAGTGCTTTGCTTTGCTGGAGCCAGATCCCTCTTCTGTGTCCCTTTCTGGCTCGTTAAATGCTCTGAACAGAGCCTGCTTGTTGTGGAAATTCTCGAGTTGAGAGGAGCAATGACAGACTGACTGGATACCTTGGTATTTGGTAGTGTTGCCTCCATTATGGTTAATGAACTGCAGAGCTAGAGAAAATGATTACTCACCATTCAGCCTCAAGTGTTGTGTGGTGATGGAAGGTAGTGTTACATTTAACACAACTTTTATCACAAGTTTGAAAGTCTGTCAATTTGAAGAGTTGGACATTAGGCCTGATGTTCTGTAGGTTAGTCTTAGTAAAAGCAAAGACTGAATGTCTTACAGTGAGGCCGTAAGTTTTTGGCAGTTTACTGACTATGTTCTTTTTTTGTCTTTGTTTTCCAGCGATGTACTTGCCCTCCCCATTTTCAAACAAGAGGAGTCCAATCTGCCTCCAGACAGTGACAACAAAATCCTTCCCTTTCAGTATGTTCTGTGTGCAGCTACCTCGCCAGCCGTTAAACTGCATGATGAAACACTCACCTACCTCAACCAAGGTCAGCCTCAGGATCCCAGCCCTTTTCAGCGTTGTCTAAATTTACTGAGATATAAGAGTAAGAAGTCAAAAGCCTCTGAAAGCAAATTCAGCTTCCTTTGACCTCATAGAAAACACTATATAGAAATATACTGGAATGATCTGTGGGGGGAATGTTTTTAAAATAAAGATGCCAGCGTAGTTGCATTCTTTTCTGTCAGTTTGGCCTGTTGACACTTTGTCTGTGTTATGCATACATCTGTAAAAGACACTTTTTTTCTCCTCTGTCACACAAATATTTTTTATATTTCATGATTTCTAAAAATCTGTGTTATTGCAGAATTGGCTTTATAATCATGCTATTGTTAGTAGAAGTGACAAACTGTATCATTGTTTCTGTGTAGTGTGAGACATTCTGTGTCTTGTGTCATGGAATTAACAAACAAGGATTTGCACATTTTCTTTTATTGTGGTTAGTATTACTTCGTCTTATGACAGTCCTGGAGGAACTGAGATCTGTTTATTAACTGTGTGGACTTATCATCACAGGACAGTCCTATGAAATTAGAATGCTTGACAATCGGAAGATTGGGGAACTTCCTGAAATCACTGGTAAAATGGTGAAGGTAAGAATATATTCACATTTGCACAGGTCAGTGTCTGTCTGAGTAGCATGAAGTGTATTTACTCTTTAATTCTTTCACAAAAATTATTTCTCTCAATTTCAGAGCATTATTCGTGTGGTGTTTCATGACCGACGACTTCAGTACACAGAGCACCAGCAGCTGGAAGGCTGGCGCTGGAACAGGCCTGGGGATCGCATCCTGGACCTGGGTGAGCACTGAATGAAAAACGGCTGTTCTTCGTTGAGAGTTCCAGAAAATTCTGTTTTTTTTCTGTATTGTGTTGTATTTATTTATAGAAAGAATGTTGCTGTGTATATTGTGTGTATATTAACCATCAGATAGTTTTTGGATAAAAATCCATTCAGAGCATTGCCTGTTAACCCAAATTGTAAATTCATGGTGTTCATCATTAAGAACTCCTTTGATAACAGCTTGTTTTGTATTGATCCATTGCAGATATCCCTATGTCAGTTGGCATAATCGACCCCAGGGCTAACCCTACTCAGCTTAACACTGTGGAGTTCCTTTGGGACCCATCAAAAAGAACCTCAGTTTTTATCCAGGTAGCATGATGGTCAACACTTTCGTTTTCCCAGCACATGTTGTAACTTCGGAATTGCAGTGATTTAGGCAATGTAGAGCTCTTTGCCAGAATAGAGCTCAGCTTATTAACATTCACTGTACTCATCTATTCTGTTTGACAGAGTAATTAGTTAACTGAATGTCTAATACAGCAGGTTTTTCATCTCAATTTCATATTCCTTTCCTTTTTAGGTTCACTGCATCAGCACAGAATTCACCATGCGCAAGCACGGAGGAGAAAAGGGTGTGCCTTTCCGCATCCAGATCGACACGTTTAAAGAGAATGAGAGTGGAGAGTACACAGAACATCTCCACTCTGCCTCCTGCCAGGTCAAAGTCTTCAAGGTTAGAGGAGTGACACAAGACTGAAATAAGAACGAATGAAATAAGATCCTACATGCACTGCAACGCAAATATATATTTTTATTGACTCCTCTGATACTGTTGTTCATTACCACCACATTAATATCCTGTACATAACTTGTTTCAGCCTAAAGGAGCTGACAGAAAGCAGAAAACAGATCGGGAGAAGATGGAGAAGAGGGCGCCACAGGAAAAGGAGAAGTACCAGCCCTCCTATGAAACCACAATCCTGACAGAGGTTCGCATGTAATAAGTGTGTTAATGGTATTAGTCACTGCTGGGATAAAGACAACGGTGTTTAAAACAAAACACAACCTAATCTAACGAATATGCTCGTATTTCCAAAAAAGGGCTGGAAAATGATTTTGTGATGGGCAGTGGGCCAAAAGCCAATATGTTGACTTGTCAATGCTATAATACAGAGAAAAGCCACAAACCAGTATTACAATATTAGTTTTCACTGATGCTTATTATTTCAGCCTAAATTCGTAAAACATATTTAAAACTACGGAGTGGAAAAAATAATGTTTCACTTGCGGATAGTGCACAGACCGACTGAGAGACAAATGGTGTGGATATATTTATTCAAGGCAAAGCTAAAAGTTATAACTTGTGGCTGCAGAAATTTATTTCTCACGTTATTTAGATGCCACGATAACAAAAGTGTTGATCTTTTGCAGTGCTCTCCCTGGCCTGAGATCACATATGTCAACAATTCCCCCTCTCCTGGCTTCAATAGCACACACAACAGCTTTCCTGTTGCTGAAGGGTATGAGGGTTTCATGATTCTGCTAATACTTCATGAATAATGCTGTGAACAGTAGCTGTGTATGATTAGCAAGGAACACACACACGATGTATATATTCTTCCTGTTGTAGATTGTATTTCTTTTCCTGGGTTCTAAAGTGGATGATTTTTTTCATCCTTTCTAGAAACGGGTCGCCAAACCACCAGCCTGAGCCTGTTGTTCCGGTTGCAGATGTAAGTTCATTTTCACTTTGTGAGTTTCTTTTATTGCCTCCTACATCTTGCGTCACTGAATCACTGTATATTAATAACCACAAAGGCAAAGCTGACATCTAGCTGTTAAACCTCTGCTCACGAGTAGATTCACTGACACACTTTGAAATGATAAAATAAATAAAAATCGACCTCAATCTGTGAATGGAAGTGCTTAGTGGTGGTACATCAGAAATACAAGGTCAACTCCGGTTGAATGCGTGACACCGGAAGCCAGTGATTCAACACTTCTATTATTTTACCTTGAAACATGATGTCAGAATATTTCATCCTGTATAAACTCTGTATTTGGACAGCTGCCTACCTGATATATAATGCTTCAGTCCTCTATATATACCCACTGAGAAATGAAAGAACAGCATGTAAATAAAAAATGTTAACAGTTAGATGTAGGTTTTAGTTTCTGTTTTTAAAATGGATTTTGAAAATAGTTTTTGGTTGATTTCAAAGCAATGACTATTGAAAAATACATTTCAAAGCAAAATAAAGCAACCATAGTCGAATCTGTTGTCACATTTATGCATTTATATTTTTGTGTGTTAACGTTCTCTTTTCGTTTTTAATGTTTCTAGTTGCCGGGCAAATGCCTGTGATTATTCCCTTTTTAAAGCTAGCTTTGATGGCTGCACATGTTTTCACTCACATTCTGTGTTATTTTCTCAGAATTTGTTACCCACAGCGACACCACAGGATGCACAACAGTGGCTTCATAGAAACCGCTTCTCACCTTTCTGTCGGCTCTTCACCAATTTCTCAGGTAAAACGGCCTCTGAATACACAATTATTACAAATTACACATCCATTTACTTTAGTGTAGTATCATCTTGTGAGTGTAACCAAACAGCTTGACCGAAACCCTTTGCTGGTGCCACTGAGCCCGTGTGTGGTTTAAGAAAGTGCCAAGAAAGTGAGCACAAGTAGAGAAGACTTCAGGTATTAGATGACACTAGGTAGCATAGCGGCAACTAAGGTTGCAACCCTGCATGACTGAAAAGATCCGCTCTGCCAAAGTTTCTTTTAGTAAGCCACCAATACCCTGCCAAGATCTTGACCTGTGGTCTGTTGCTGACCTTGTATGGCAAGCACTCAGAGGACAGGATAAATGAAAAGACTGTTCATTTGTGTGAATCCACAAAGACATTTTGCTGACTCTGTGATCATTTTTTCTCAACAACAGCAAAAAAATCCAAAAAACCATTGCTATATTGTGTAATTTGTAGAGGGTGATGACAAGGTCTTGTTTTTGTGTACCAGGGGCAGACCTTTTAAAACTGACCAGGGAGGATGTTATTCAGATCTGTGGGCCAGCTGATGGAATAAGACTCTTCAATGCACTGAAGGGACGGTGAGTCACACTCAATTTAATTGCATTTCAGAATATGCCATGTACCCACTATTATCCAAAAAAACAAATTATGGGAGTCAGCATTTTGTGTAATTTTTCTCTGTGGATGCAGGGTGGTACGTCCAAGACTGACCATCTACGTTTGCCAGGAGTCGCAGCAGGCACGGGAACAGCAACCAAAACATGAAAATGGTGATGCTGCTGCCAACACTTTCTTTGGTCAGTACATGTTCATGCGTGTTTGTTTTAGCAAAGTAGACATATGAATATTTAAAATATACTATGCGAATGAGGCAGAAAATTGTGAGACTTCAGTGACTGCAAATCACACAGTGTGGTCAGCATGTACACAGTTGAACAAATAAACAAATACCTCATCCGCACTTTCTATCACTGACAGTTATTATACTAGTGTGTGTAAACATACTGCATCCTGCCACAGCCAAACAAAGTCCTGAAATGAACAGCCCAGTTTACATGTGGGAAATGAGCCTACTATCAAAATCGACCTCCGATGTGCTGCTGTATTTATATTGGAGTCCTGGAGCCACATAATTTCATGTTTAATAGACGTGCTGAAAGGAAGATTGTTGTCTTTGGGCAGAGACAAGCTACTAAGTGTTTCCCTCTGCCTTCATGCTAAGATAACCGCCAACTGTCTAGCTTCATATTTATTCACAGACATAAAAGAGGTAAAAAGAAATCAGTTTAATATTGCTCTTTGCCAGAAAGCAAGAGAACGTGTCACCCAAAATGTTGTGATTATCCAGGTTTTTCCACCAGGACATTTAGAAGCCAGACAGTAGTGGAAAAGTATCCAGCTAGGGGGTTTAAAGGGCAATTTTTGTCTGTAAAAGACAGAATGTGATTGACACATTCTAATGCCACTCGTCCATGATATGCACTGATCTTAATTATTGCATGTTTTAGTGTTTAGTTTAGTGTTCCATTCAAGTGCAGTGTTTGGAAAATTAACCACTTGAAATTCACCATTATTGTCAGGTAACTCTCAGTAGCCCTGGGTGTCCATCAGTCGGTTGTGAGAGTGACAGCAGCTGTTATAAGTTGTGGACAGTAGCTTGTGTTTGTCAATAAAGGGCTGCTATGACATGCTGGCTGAAATGCAAACAGGAGGTAATTTGTTAACAGGGCTTAATCACTTTCAGCGTGTGTTTAAAATCCGACAACAGAGTATAGTTGCATATTTGCTGCTATAAAAACACTTCTGTTGTTTGTTATCACTTTGGACTTAATTGTTAGCACAATGCTTCTTAAATGCCACAGGGAGCTGAGTTTGCACTGCACTCCTTTTTTTCCCCCATGTACTGCTGATGTGATGTCGTCTCACATGATTGAGCAAGTTCTAAGTACAACCAGCTGTGTACTTGATTGCCGTTAACAATGCCATCATACAGCTTTTTATCCAATCCACCTGTCTTTGTTCATTATCACTGTAGTAACTGAGATACTGCAGTGTTTCCAATCAGTAGACTTTGATGATAGTAGAGGGTCGTCAAGCTTTGATTGGTCCGTGATTGGATTAACTTTGAGTTTCAAATAGAGCTTTTGCTGGTGCAGTAGCTGTATTCTTTTGGTACACATGCATGCCAAACCAGAAGGCCCATACCAAACTCTTCGGTACAAATGGTCACTTATATAACGCTTTTATCAAAGCGCTTTAAATACATGTACTGTTATCCCTTTATTACCTCTATGCACTGTTCTTCTTGTCAAGCTGTGGTACTGACACCTGTTTTCACTCTACCTGCTTTTTCTTGTAGTATATCATGCCATTTACCTGGAGGATCTCACTGCTGGTGAGCTGACAGAGAAGATTGCTCAGCTCTTCAACATCTCACCCAGGCAGATAAATCAGATCTTTAAACAGGGTCCCACTGGCATCCATGTGCTGGTTAGTGATGAGGTAAGAGAGTCCCGCTGCTATGACTTTCCAGAGGTTTTAAATCACAGCTACAGATGATGAGACCAATGGAGAGAAGCTTACTTGTTATGACATTGCTAATGGCTTTTGCTTGTTTCCCATTCCCTCTCGTCTTCCAGATGATTCAGAACTTTCAAGATGAAGTATGTTTTGTTTTGGACACAATGAAAGGTATTTGAGCGTGGTGATAAGTGTTGACGATCTATCTGTTTCTATATTTACCACCTTGATGAACTGCATCATTGCAGGTTTATTTTTAACATCCCTGCCTGCTGTCTTTTTTTTTTTCCAGATGACACAAATGATGGCTACCACATCATCTTGAAGTGAATACTGGGAAGGAGAATAGCCCAGCCTTGCTCTCCTCATTAGACCCAATCCAGTCAGCCCCTCTAGAGCTTCAATACTCCTTGCTGATCCTGGAATATATGGAGATGCCCCAAGACAGCTCTTGAAGCAGCTAGGAGGAACATGTGACTGAAGCACCTGGCCCTCTCCTCACTACACCCTACTGTCTTACTTTTGAGGGAGTGACTCTGGTACCACAGCAAATTAACAGTCTCCTTCTCGCCCTGCCATTGTCTCCTTTAAATGGTTGCATTTTCCTCTGTCGCTTATGTCTCAAAAGGAGGTTAGTGGCGCTACAGCTGCTGTCGTTGTTTGTTAGCTGAGCATCTGGTGTGCCAAAGCTCTGTACGTCAGAATCAACAGTTGTCTCTTTAAAAAAAACAACAACCAAAAAAAAGGAAAAAAAATCAAGGTAAGGAAAAAGACACTGATAGTACTTTACTTTCAGTCTGCAATTCAGCATGATTTCTCGTCTTCGTGCTAAGTTGCCATATGGAATACAAGCCAGTCTGCAAGAAACACGGTAAAGCTGACACAGTCACACACATTGAATTAAAGAACCACAAGAGGCTTCAAAATCAACAACCAGGATGTCAAGGGAAACAGTTGGAATCTAGCTGTCCTTCAGAACATCTGAGATTCCTTTGAAAGCTAGCGATGTTTGTTACTTTTGAGAAGAAAAGTTTTTCTAGACTCCCGAACCCTGTTAGGTCTTCATAGTTTGTGTAGACAGCGTCGTGGCACACGTGATTTTTACTTCGGCATCTTGAAAGATGATAAACACCGTCTGTGTTAGTGATCACAGTGGCAACACCAGCAAACTGTCTCCATGTGCTTCCTCTCCTTATCGGCTTAATTAGCACACCAGCATTTCATTATGTTCGTTTTTTGGCCATTTTTGCTCAACATTATTTTCTTCATTTTTAACATGTTTTTGTAATGAATCATGTGCTACTTTGGCAGTTATTTTTTGTTCAAAAAATGGTCTTTTTAACATACTTAGATGTCTTCATCGTTGTTTTTGGATGTTACCACTTCCAAATGCTAATACGTGTTATAAGTTGTTGTGCACATGAGAGCTGCATGTGAAAAGATATGATTAGTTTATGTTCGGTCCTTTGTACATGAAATTGATAGCTTGATATTTTAGATATTCATTTTTTGCCCCATTTCGTCAGCATCATTAAAATACTTACCCATGTGCTAGCTGCTATCTGTTGTCTGTCTTTTTAGAAACTTTGCAATTAAAAAAAACCAAAACAAAACAAAACAGCAATTCCTCAAATCCCGGCCTTCTCAAAGTTAAAACTGCAGAAGAGTGTTGAATTCTTACTTTGAATGAACATCTATGCCTGACTTGTTAGCTAGAAACTCCTATCTCTAGATTCACACAATATTTACAGCCGTCCTCAAATTTATTCAAATTTCAAAGAGCTCTAATTTGTCCAGGACAGTTTTGTTTTTTTAAATTATTCTTTTCAATCACAATTCAAAAGCAATGTCTTATTTTTACTAAATTATAATTTAACATATTTTCTTAAAATTTATTATTACTTTTTCAGTTTCTAGTTACTTGAGTGACTATTGTGAATTTTGGCTTTTCTTTAATGGAAGGGTATGAATAAATTTGAGTACGACTATAAATGATTGTGAGATAAAGAAGGTTTCTTTAAACTTGAAAAAGTAGGAGGGGAAAGTAAAAACACACTGGAAGCTACCGAGAAAATGTTAATAAATAATGTTGATATTATTTAGGGTTAGTCCGACAAAAGGACAGATGTGAAGGCTTAGTCATTTTGTTTCCATGGAAACTAGATTTGACATGATACGAAGATGACAACAGCACAAACTGTAAATCACATTAAGGTGAAGGTGTGATGCAAGCTTGTGTCAAAATGTCACACGCCTGTCTTATTTTTGCACATTTATTTCTGCAGAATATGAACAAAGAAAATCATGGTGGGGGGCAGCAAGAAGCGAAAGACTCAGTTTCCCAGCATGCCTCGGCGCAGCGCATGCTCGTGATGTCACAATAAGTATATATACGGCTACAGGGAAGAATTTCTTCCTCCATTGTTACATTGTAACAAACGGGGCCGGGGCGAACCGGGGGAGAAAGGAGGCGGCTTCTCGGGAGAAACCCTGCAACGTTTCCTTTTTTTTGACACCAAACGAAACCGGGCCGGTTCTTGTTTTAATGCGAGAAGACGGCGAAGTTAAAGCCCAGCCGAGAGAAGCCGCCCCGGTGAGGAGAAGGATAAACGAACACAGATGTCAGCGGATTTCTCCATTACTCCCATTTTCAAGGCTCATACTTCAGGAGGATAAGACATATACATTATTGATGTTGCTCTAAAAAAAAAAAAAAAATGTTGGGGAAATAAATCGCAGCTTTCACCATATGACGCCCCGTCCGTCCTTTTAAATAGATTAGGCATGCAACATTTAAATCAAACCCGCCGGTCGAACAGACATCTCCCGTTTTCTTCGTGATCCCTACAGTGTGCAGGAACAATGAGCATGAAGTAGCCCATTACAGCCACATATAAAAGTGTTGCACATTGACAATCCAGCCAGATCACTTTGGGTCACCGTCGCTCCACGGTTTGCAGTCTGGATTCGTCGCTTTTTGGCACAGAAAAGAAGAGGAGGAAGAAGAAAAAAAAGCAGCAGCTCGTAGGGCGTTTTAAAGATTGATGTGCAGCTCGGATTGGAAAGAGGAACGACCTGCGGGTTTGCTTGGAATAAGGGTCCCTGTTTCTGCTGCAGGTAAGAGGGTTTAGTGTTTCATTAACCGGGCGCTTTGCCATTGTGTGTTTGTATGTGTGTGAAAAATGGGAGAGTGGAAAGAGAGAGAGAGAGAGAGAGAGGGGGTGAGGAGGGTGATCGAGCCTGTGCTTGTCAGGTTGATAATATCCAACCTCCCCCAACCCAGTCTGACCAGCAAGCACACAGTTAAACTCATACTTCATCTACACACTGCAAGTCATTGACGAGTTAATATACAATGGATTATAAACATGCTGCATCCTGACACAACCAAACAAAGTCCTGAAGGGAACCACAGCCTGGCTTCCTATATATTTATATATATGACAGAGCCCACACTATCAAAACCCACCTCTGCTGTGTTGCTCTATTTATACATACTAGAAAATGGTTCACTTGCTGCACCAGTATCTTTAACACCAGGCCCAGTTCCCTCACAGCCTCTTGAGGTGTTTTTTAAAATAATTTTTATTATTTTTTTATGCATTGCAACATGATTGAAGACTTTTTATTTGTGACATGGTCTTACTGTGCTGGCAGTGAAATGTAAAGTGACAGTGCAATGACATCAAGACATGATAAACAGATATAAATGATGATGAGTAAAGTGTGTGTGTGTGTCTATATGACATGACAATCGCAGACAATTACAGCATCACCCTGGACATCGAGGCTTTAATCAAACAGTGCTCATTCTTTGAGTAAATGTGAGGACTTTCCTCTCAACTAAAATCACTATGACTGCAGCTGTTTCATTATTCACTGTCCACGGAGCAGCTCCTGGACTGTGTGACATCATCCTGCCATCATGACTCCATTTAGCTCCATGACAGACTAAAGTGTACACAATTAACGAAATTTGACATGTTAGTCCCGATCAAGGCTAACATTTTTCCTTTAAAACTGGATGTTTGCTCATTTGGAGTCGTCCCATTTATGAATGACAATGCAGTATGTTGCAGTCAGTAGCATGTCACATGTTAACCCATGGGGAATGCTAGTATGACAAGCTTCAGGCACGCTTTTGCACTGTCTTTATGGAATGTAATCATAAATACTAATTAATTTCAGCTGCGTCTACAAGCGTTGATGAACTACACCCCTAAGGGACATGACACATTGTGACATATATCCTTGTTTGAAGTCTTCTACAGATGTGATTGATCAACTCCAGCTTTCAGATCCCCTCATATTTTGACTGTTCATAACAGAATTGGGGGTTAAAAAAAAAAAAAAAAGCATCATTTGCTTCAAGGCTGTTCACATAAACCGTGCTTGCCTAGTTGCCATGGTTACATTTCTAGACTTGATAATTTCAAAGTAGGATTTCATGTGAGATGGGAGGCAGAGAGACGAAAATGATGGAGCTGGAATACAGATGAAAGGAGACAGGCCTGAACAGATGTCAGCTTTTAGCTTCTGTGTTGGTGCTGACCTCACGCAGGAGCAGTTTTGATAGAAATCACCCAGTTCTCTGAGAGAAAACAAGAATATTTTGTCTCTTAAGTAGTAAACAAATATCACACAAGTGACCCAAAACATCATCCACTCTCTTCTCATTAACCAAAGTTCACTTACTCACATCTTTTGGCTCATATAAAGTGGTGCAGAGTGTGTTCACTGTGGCTCGACGTCTGCTGCTCTGTGTCCCCCAGACACCAAGTTTCCATGGAGGCAGGTTCGTCCCTCAGCCTCAAACGAAGATATGAAGAGGTGGACAACAGCTCTCCATTCTCTACACCCAAGGACTCTGACGATGACATCTCCAGCAGTGACAGCGCTGACAGCTGCGACAGCCTCAATCCCCCCTCCAGCACTGCATTTACCCGTAAGGAACAGCAGGAGACACACGTTAAAGGCAATACACCCGCCCAAAACTACACTGCTGATTAACAAAAGCGTTTAATTACTCACGTGTAACACCGCATCCCTAAACTTACTCCCTTTCTTTTTTTCTTTTTTCCCCCACATTAGCCACCTCCATCCTCAGACAGCACAAGCCGTCTCCAGGGGGGAAGCGGGTACGTTTTGATGTGGTGACGGTGTATTACTTCCCCCGGCGGCAGGGCTTCACCAGCGTGCCCAGCCAAGGGGGCAGCTCGCTGGGCATGGCCCGCCACCACTCCTCCATCAGACACTACACGCTGGGAGAGTTTGCACGCGAGCAGGAAACCAGCCACCGGCACACTCTGCGGCAGCACCTGCGCCAGGAGAAGCTCAATGCCCGCAAGATGAAGGTAGATATTTAGACAAGAGTGTGATTGAATTATATCACCTTTAATTCATGACTTCTTTGTATAAAGAGTATAGTAATATTAGATAGTTTTGAAAAGGTAATTCACCCTTGACGAATAGGGATTTTGAGTTTGTTCTCTCATGTGATTCTCCTTACAAAGACTGTTTTATAAGATGATGGTACATGGGTTTAGTATACAAATGTCTTGTGGTCTTATTTGAAAAGCATTTTATATCTCCATTAGCTGCAGTAACTAAGAACATTTGAAGAGTTCATTTGCAAAAACAGATAACTCCATTTTTGTAGATTTTCAGAAAACATATTTTTTTGTTGTTTGCTTGAGATAATATCAATCAAACCGAAGTTGAGTGGATTTGACTCAGTAGACATGACAAAAATAGAGATAACTTAATTTTGACTGATATCGTCTCAGGTAGACGACGGAAAAGTGGCTTTTCTGAAGGTTTGTGAAGATTGAAGAAGAGTTATCTGTTTTAGCAAACGAACTCTTCATTTACTGTTGTATTGTCTTTTTTTGTCTCGTGCACTCTGACAAGAGGCAGCCTAACTGGGCCTCTTTCCACCTCTCACATGCCTGTGAGTTGTTAGCAGGCCCACTGAAGATTAATACCCCCTTTAAACTTTCCCTTTAAATAACTGCTTCAGGCCAAAGAGGTAAAGCTTTCCAATATTTCAAACCACATTTCAAAGATTAGAGAAAAGTCCAAAAGATAAATACAAGTGTAGCAGAACTTGTTTTTTTTCCTTCTCCTCCTTCATAGGTCATCTCACAGCAGATTTTATCTTTTGACCCCCAGACTGAGAAAAACGGAGCTCCACGTGGATCAGTATCAACTTTCAAACTTTACTCAAACACTAATTCATTTGTATTGACAATCTAATGTGTGTGCAGTATACATTTATAAAAAAGGTGCGTTCCATTTGAACTGGGAAGTTGGAGTTCTCAATTGAGAATTTCAAGTGGAACACACCTGTAGACCTTGAGAGTTTGAGGAACCTCACCAACCTCGACTTCAAGATCTCAGATGGCTGCTCAGAACAACAACAGCAGTAAATACTGTTTATTAGCACTTTTGTATTACTTGTGTGCCAGGTGCACACACAGTACTGTCCAGCTCCTGTCTGTGGACACGGTGCTACAAATTTTGTGTGCCCTGTAATGTGTTCTCAACGGGTGGTA